ACAGCGAAGGCGGAGGTCCTCCACCTCCGCGCTTCACGCCGACAGAAGCTCGTTAGCATTGGCAAGAAGGCCCTTCTGCCGGTGAAGCTGGTCCCAGACGCCCCTCTCCCGCCGGAGAAACACCGACTTCCCAAGCGACCGGGTCTCGAGCTCCTGGGGAAGCAGAGCGAGGGTCATTGGTCGCAACAAAGTCAGGAAAGTAAACGTCGCACGAGAAAGAAAAGCACGAACACAGGCGACTCAGGCAGTTCATCGGCCACCACAGATAGCGCCATTCGAAGCGACCGCTCGCATGGTGGCGATCATTGCTCGAAGGTGTTCCAGCGCCCACCTCACCACCGCGTCCTCAAGGGCAAGCAGAGGCTCCCCTCGAGGTCATCCGGCTCTGCCACAATACCCATGGTGGTCCCACCCGCGAGGCTCGGGCCGGACCCGCGACGAGGCCGAGCCTCCCTCGTCCAAGAGCCATGGCTGGTGCTCCACGGCATTGGTCTCCTCGGCGTCGACCACCTCCCGTGTCGGGAAGTATCATCGGAGGAGATCGGATAGACCAACGGCGGGCCACGAACCAAGGGCACCACCGAGGTGGCCGCCTTTGCATCTCGCGCTCCTCCTGCACAGACGGCCTCGCCGCCATCACGATGGTCTTGGTGACCTCGGGGGCTCCGGCCTCTGCAATTACGGCCTCGGTGGTCTCAGGGTCTCTGGCCTCCGCCATCGTGGCCTCGGCAGACGCTGAGACGCCGACCACGGCCACCGCGGTCTCGGCGGTCGCAGGTGCCGTAGCCTCCGTCGCCTCAGCCTCGGAGACCCTGGGGGCCTAAGCAACAAAGGGCATGCCGGCCCCATCTGACTCGTGAGCCTCGCCCCCATGAGGCGGAAGCGCTCCCTCCATCGTCTGTGTAGGGGCCGCCTCGGCAGAACCTCCTTGGGCGGCCGGCCCCGTTGGGTCGACCCTCGCCGATGCCCCGCCGCGTTGGATAGCGGCTTGTGCCTCCGCCACCTAGTGTGCAGAGGAGCTGAGGCTCGCCTTAAGCGCCTTAAGGGGCGCCAGGGGAGGTCGTCCGCAGCCGCTTCCGACTAAGGAAAATTAACCTCTGTGGTCGGCGCAAAACTAAAAAGCGACCGAAAAAAACACCACGACCCGCTAAGAATACACTTGCCTTGATCGGGCAGCCCTCGCCGCCCACAGCAAACCTCACCCCTTGGCAGCGGCGGCGGGCGGCAGAGGCGTCGCCTCCGTATCCATCGACGCCGGACGGTCTTGGCGGACCCGGTGCCCCTCGATCCTCTCTGAGGGGGTGGCGTCGCCTCCGCCGCCACCCACTCCACCACGGCCGCCGAAGCCTCGGGCCGACGACGTTGCGTTGCCTAACGCCCGCGCCTCGGAGTGTCGGCCTCTCGCCCCGAGGCGGGCAACCGCCGGCCCCGGTCCGCTTCTCCTCCCCTTCCCGGGGTGCCGGATGCTTACCGACACCCCGGCGCCACCTCCACGACATCGGGAAGGTGGTCCGGGGACGCCGCCCTCCCTCGACCTTGTCGTCCCCGTCCGAGGCCTCCGTCCGACAACGACGCCGACGGGATTCCTCCCAATGAAGACCGTCCTTCCCGTTGTTGGCGGGCGCTTATCCAGCTCCTCGCGCTCGAGGATGTGCTTTCAGGCGCTTTGCCGCTTTGGCGTCCTTTTCGCCTCTTCTGCGCATCGGCGTGAAAGCACGGTTGACCGCCCGCGCTCGCGTCCTCGAGAAGCAGGCGGTGGAGAGGGCGCGTCTCTCATCCCTAAAGAAACAACAAACGCACATAAGGGAACAAGGGGTAGGAGGAGACCGAGGAGGGTCGAGGCTACTGTTGGCCACGACTTACCAATGAAAGGAACCCCGCGACGGCCACATCGCGATAGGGGTCAAGTTGCCGCCCCTCGGCTTATCGCCTCCTCGTCTCCCCCACCGACGAAGAATCTCCTCCTCGAGAAAGGGCGGAAGAGGACATCCGGGTGCCCTCAATGGGCTCACCCGGCTTCATCTCGAACAGCCGCCGCCATCGAGCCATCGGCCAGGCAAAGCACCCTCCGGCGTGTGGAACAGCCACAACCATACCAGCGGTGAGGCCGTGGCCAGTAGCCTCGCTTGACCCCTCCAGAGCGGCTCCGGCTTGGGCTGGTCGACCTTGAGGATGCCCCACTTCCACTTCTCCGGGCAACTCCCCACAATCCGCCCGGTGTGGGGGGAAGCCCTCCGTCGTCGTTACGAAGATAAAACCAACTCGTGTACCACCGGCGGTTGGAGGACGCGAGTTGGGCCGGGATGTAGAGGTGCAGGCGGTCCTGACGCACTTGGAGAGTGCAGCCTCCGGCCCTCGCCGCCTTCCTCTTGCCCGACGTGCCCGACGGCTTTGTAGTATGCCCCGCCCGGAACAGATGGAGCCACAACTCCCAATGGGGCGCGATCCCTAAATACCCCTCGCAGACGGCAACAAAGATAGCCGCCTGAGCAACGGAGTTGGGATTAAAATTGTGGAGCTCCACGCCGTAGTAGTGCGTAAGCGCCCACATGAACCGGTCCGCCGGGACGCCGAGGCCACGCTCGTGGAAGGAGATGAAGCTTACGACATAGCCGTCGCGAGGCCTCGGCTCTGGCTCACCGTACGGAGCAATCCATTCCGGCTGGTGGAGTCGGGCCACCGAAGCGGGAGCCCACCGTCGACAAGCGATCGGAGCATCTCCTCGGTGACGTCCCGACGGATCCTGTGGGTCTCGCCTCAACGACAACGATATCACCGCCATGGGTGCGCTGGGGAATCAAGTGCGGCGGTGAGTCTTTTCTCTCCCCCACGCCTCATTTTTTTCTCGCTTCCTCCCTAGGCTCGCTCTTCCTCCTCTCCTTCTCGGCAAGACTCATTTGCTCTAGCGATGGCTCTGGCGGGGGCTAATCGATGCAGCAAGGTAAGACGAGGAGGGCAAAACTCCCGGTATTTATGCAGGAGGAGGCGTAAACGAAGCAAGCGATGAAATCGGGAGATTTTCCCCCAATCTGGTGCGGTTAACCACGAGCCGATTTCACCGCCCACGCTACCACGTCTCCCGCGATTAAATGCGAGGACGGTTACGCCCCATCCACCACGCACGCTTCGCCGCCACTACGGCAGCAGTAATCGTTTCGACTCCCAATAAAACTACCTCAAAAGGCGCGCCACTCATGGCCGAGCCAATAGGGAAGATATTTCCGCATGACTGTTCCTTTCATAGGAACGAACCGGACTCTGAGCCTATTACGATCCAGGGGTTCAAGGTGGACCCTAAAGGGTTTCGACAGTTGCCCTAGGATAATAGAGTCGAGGGGCAGGGCATGGCGAGAGCCTATTTGGGGCCGAGACCCAAGCGAGCTTAAACGCTTGGGACGCCCAAAGTCGTGTCCGAGACCCGGCGAGGAAAGTATCCGAATGGGATCCCATCGTAGGAGGCACCGAGCCACCGAGGCCCAACGAACGGCCTCGGCACCCACTAGAGAAATCCTCTGGTACTCTTGAGTGTGTCTCGGACCGCTAGCCGTCCCCTAACGAACGGGTTCGGGCCTCCACGGACTACCCGATATGACTCACCGGAAGTGCCACCGCTCGTGCCCATCGAGGATAGCGAGGCACATTCCACCCCTCCTTCCGAGCGAAAAGGAAGCGCGAGGGTCACATAAAAGTCAGGGGAACCCCTGACGGCCTTCTCGCCCTATGCAGAGGCTAGGGGGCTCCTCCTGCAAATATGCCGAGACCCCACGACCCGGGCTCGCGCCCAAAGGGGTCTCGACAAACAAACCCTCACGCGCGAGGGGCGTATAAAAAGTCAGGGGAACTCCCGACGGCCCTCTCGCTCTGCGCAGAGGCTAGGGGCTCTTTCTGCGACCTTGCCGAGACCAGAATGGGCTCAGCAAACAAACCCTCACGCGCGAGGGGCGTATAAAAAGTCAGGGGGACTCCCGACGGCTCTCTCGCTCTGCGCAGAGGCTAGGGGCTCTTCCTGCGACCTTGCTGAGACCAGAATGGGCTCGGCAAACGAACCCTCCGTCCGAACGAAAAGGATATGTGAGGGGCGAATGAAAAAGTCAGGAGACCCCCGACCGTCCTCTTGCTCCAGGCGGAGGCTCCTCTTGCACCCAAAAACCAAGACAAAAACACGATAAAGGGCACTGAGCCCGTTACGGTCCAGGGGTTCGAAGGCTGGGCCTCCAAGAGGTTTCGACAGCCACCCCAGGGCAACAGAGTCAGGGACGACTTCGGGGCGAGCCTACGAATGGCCCAGGCCTGAACGAACAGTCGCTCGGGGCGTCCTAAGTCGTGTCCAAAACCGACAGGAAAGTATCCGAATGGGATCCCACCGTAGGGAGGCACCGAGCCACCGAGGCCCAGCGAACGGCCTCGACACCCACTAGAGAAATCCTTCGGTACTTTTGGAGTGCGTCTCTGGACCGCTAGCCGTCCCCTAGCGAACGGGCTCGGGCCTCCACTCGGACCACCCGATGTGACTCACCGAAGTGTCCACGCTCGCGCCCATCAAGGGTAGCATGGCACATTCCACCCTCCTTCCGAGTGAAAGGAAGCGTGAGGGACATACCCAACGTCGGGGGACCTCGACGAACCTCTCGCCCATGCGGAGGCTAGAGGCCTTTTTGCAACCTCGCCGAGACCCCCGCAACCCGAACTTGCGCTTATGGGCTCGGCAAATGCAATAAGAACTGATCACTCAAACGCGAAAGTGGAGAAAGCCCCTGGAGGAGTAACTTCACTCCTCCAGGGGCTCAAGACACACCCGTGCAGGTGGCTCGCACCCACCCCGGAACCTCAGAAAACAAACCAATTCCCACGGAGCAGGCATAAACCCGGCCTCAACGAACCCTCGTGGAGAGTGCAGACACACAACCCCGAGGCTCGGGGGGCTACTATCGGTACCTTAGAATGGGGTACCCCAAGCAAACATCAAAATAAAGCTAGAAGGTAAGCCGTGGGCCCCTCACCGCCACGACCGAGCCCTCCTCCACCTCGCGCCTCGAGCCTCGGCAGGAGGTCTCGGAACAAACTCCGCCTCGCCATGAGGCTCCCAGTGGTAGGCCTCTAGGGGCGCCGAGCCTCGGCAGGGGCGCCTGCGTCCGCCGTCGCCCGAGGCTCTCCGGGGAAGGCCTCGGCAGGGGTACATTCTCCGTGATCGCGAGGAGGCGTCTCGCAAGGCCTCGGCAAGAACCCGATCTCGTCTCTCTGAGGCCCCAGCCTCCGTGTCGCTCGAGGCCGGGTCGCCCTGACCGTCACCCCGCCTCGACCGACCCTCCGGACAACGTGTCATGTCCCATTAATGCTTCAACCACTCCCACAATCTCAGTTTTAACGACGGCTCAACGCCACAGAATGGCCGACGCGACCAAAAGGTCGATCGCCATCCATACGGCTGGACAGGTATGGCGGGGATTACCGGCCATCGTGGTCATAACGTCAGATCCACGATCCGCGCCATACCGGCCGGGATGTGGTACGGGGGAATTACCGCCACTCGTGTCCTAACACTGCACTCCACGATCGGTAGCCCACTCGAGGCCTCGGCGCCAGATACCTAGGTCTCGGCCATCTTGGGGATCGTGCTGCCGAGACCCTCCACCATGGTGCGCACCTCGACACCGACCTAGTCTCGGCCTCATGATCCGTCCACAAGTGGCTTGCACGTCCCAAGTGCTCAAGGACGGACCACTCCGACGGCCACACCGCCACAGAACAAAGCATGAGGCCGGACACACCGCCTCTGTTCACACGACGCCGTATAGTCAGCTCATGTACCGCCCTAGTCCTCCCTTCATGCTATAAAAGGAGAGGACCTGGGTTGTTTTAAGGACAGGGGAAAAAAACCTTGTAACACACACACATACACGCACATCCCTACCGCCTGAGAGCAACGTCTCAAGCGGCCCACACGACACTCTGCCGAGACCTGGGACCAGCTCCCTCTCTCCTTTAGCTTGTAACCCCCTACTACGAGCACCTCGGTACAAGGAATACAAGATCGATCTCTCAGACTGGACGTAGGGCCTCGATTGCCCGAACCATTATAAACCTTGTGTCTCTTTGCATCACCATCTAGAATCAAAAGCACGTAGAACAAATTCACTTATCGGCTGAGGACCCCCGGTCTGAAACACCGACACCAGCGCAGTTGCCAATCTCGGGTGGTATCTCGCCTGAGAGGGTGTTGTCGATTAGCAGCAGCTTGGAGAGCCGCGGCAGCCGGAAGAGGGAACGCGGGATGGGCCCGGTGAGCGCGTTCTGCGACAGGTCGAGCGACTCGAGGCTCGCGCAGCCGCCAATCTCCGGCGGGATGCTCCCCGTGAGCTGGTTGGCCCAGAGGTAGAGCATGCGCAGCGCCGTGAGCTTCCCGATCTCAGCGGGGATGGCGCCGGATATCTGGTTGTTGTCGAGCTCGAGGTCTGTGAGGTTGGTGCAGCGCGCGAGCTCGGCTGGGATCAGGCCGGACACCTTGTTCACGCTGAGCTGCAGCTCCTTTAGCGACGTCAGGTTCCCGATCGACGCCGGGATGTGGCCGGTGAGGCCGTTCATGGACAGGTCCAGGACGGTGAGCCCTGCGCACGCCCCCAGCTCCGGCGGTATGACGCCGACGAGGTTGTTCTGCCACAGCAGCAGGTTCTTGAGGCTGCTGAGCCTGCCGAGCTGCGGCGGGATGGACCCGGAGAGCGCGTTCTCGTACAGGTAGATGTTGACCAAGCTGCTGCATTGGCCGAGCTCGGGAGGTATCGGCCCGGAGAGCATCGCGGTGTAGATGGCGATGGTGTCGAGGCTCTTGAGCTGGCCCAGGGTCGCCGGGAGCGGGCCGGAGATGCTGGTCTCGGCGAGGCCGAGCATGGTGAGGCTGGAGCAGTTGCCAATCTCCGGCGGGAGCGCGCCCTGGAGGTTCTTGTTGCCGCCGGCGCGGAGCACCTCGAGGCTGGCCATCTGTCCGATGGACGCCGGGATGGCCCCCTCGAGCTGGTTGTCGTAGATGATGAGCTCCCGCAGCGCCGTGAGGTTGCCGATGGCGTCCGGGATGGCGCCCTCGAGGCGGTTGGAGTTGAGGTAGAGGCTCTGGAGCCTGCTCCCGGGCCGGCACAGGGCGGCCGGGATCGACCCCGTGAGCGCATTGTTGCTGAGGTTGAGGTACGCCAGCGCCGGCAGGTCCCCGAGCTGCGGCGGGATGGGGCCCGTGAGGTTGGTGCCCGTGAGCACGAGGCGCGCGAGCGTGGCGCCCACGGCGGAGGCGGACAGGTCGGCGGGGACGCCGCCGTGCAAGTCGACGAACTGCAGGCTGAGCTCCGTGACCCGGCCCGCGGCGTTGCAGGACACCCCCGTCCACCGGCACGGCGACGCGTCGGTGTCCCTCCAGTCCCGCAGCGCCTCCGCGCCGCCCCGCAGCGTGCGCTTCCAGGCCAGCAGCGCCGCGCCCAGCGCGTCCACGGCCAGCGCGCCGCCCACGCACGCCATGACGAGCGCGCACCGCAGCAGCAGCAGCGGCGCCGCGCACGCGCCCCTCCACCTGCTTCGAGTTCGACTCCTGCCGCTCATCATCACACCAGGAGGCATCCCCCTCGATCTGCAGCTCTCCAGCCACCTGCCAAGTCGCCAGACAGCAAGCACTACACTTGACGCTGTACTTCAGTCCCAAAGCATATCCATCCAGGCGACCAAACTACGATGAACCGATGAAGGAGATGAGGTGAGGTGATGCTGTAGGATCAGCTGCAGCTGGTGTCACTTGCAAATCTATGTCGTTGCTTGTGCCGGAAGCAGCAGCGCAAGAAAGTGGCTCTGCAACTTTGCAAAGCCCGGAGTAGGTGGATTGGTGGCGAGGTTTAAGCCAAGCCTCAGTGACAACAGGTTTAGTAGAGGGAGAAGAAGAGGCCGAGGCATGCCATTGACATGGCCATGGGCCACACCAGGATGCAATGCAAATTGTTATATGCCGATGAGAAGTAGAGTGATGGTCAAATGGAGAAGGAAACCAGCGAGAAATGGCAGATTAGGTGGCAGCAAGCAGAAGCAGGGTTCAGGTTCAGGTTCAGGCTTAAGTGAGCTGCGGCCTTGTTTAGTTCCTCCTCAAAAATTTACTCATGTCCCATCGAATGTTTGGACACATGTATGAACATAGTTTTTAAAGTGTCGCCTTGTCGTCCGGGCGGTTTTTGAACCATGGCGTCGGGCTCGCCACGACATCCTCGTGTATGGCGTCACCTTGCACCCCAAGTCGTCACCATATGGCGTCGACTTACTCTAGGTGGACGCCGCGCACGCGGGAGCGCAGGAGGAAAACCGCGCGGGGGAGGGAAAATCGCGCACGTAGGGTGGGAAGTCTAGGATTGCGCGCAGGAAAGGCGGGGATTGCGCGTGCTGGAGAGGGAAATCACGCCCGCGCCTCCATATCCCGCTGCTCGCGGGAAGTCGCGGGAAATTGCACTCGTTCGGTGGAGAGGGAAGAGAGGAGAGAGGGGAAGAGAAGAGGAGGGCGACGAGAGCGAGCACGTGGAAGCCGCCGGCACCGTCTACCTAGCTTCATCCATCGCCTCCCCAGTCCCCACCGGATCCGCCCGCCAGCGGCTCTGTCATAGCTTTGGTGCGTGCTTTCCCCCCTCTTCCTCCCCTTGTTTGCTCTTATAGTCTTCCTCCCTCCCTCTGTTCTGCCTCTCCTCCCTCTGCTCTGCTGCGTGTGTAGTTGCCTCTGTTATGCACTTTGCTCTTTCTTTCCTCTGCTCCTTCTACTCTGCTTTGTTGGTTGCTTGCTATTTGTGGCAGCTATGGATGCATAAGTCAAGGTATATCTTCTGGAGTCGAACCCAGGACCTTCTCTGCTCCGCGTTCTGGACTTCTCCACAGACTCCTGCACGTACGTTCTTTTCTCCCCTAGTCCCCTGCTTCCTTTGCTCTGCTTCCTGTGCTCGTGCTAGATTGTTAAGACCTGGATAGATGCGCTCCTCCCCGTGCTTTCTGCTATTAGTTGTATATAAATCGTTGTGGCTTGGTGGATGCTTGTGCTAGATTGCTATTCGGTTGACTGCTTGTCTGCTTGTGCTTGCCTGCTTGGCTCTTCTATGCTCTGCAGCCAACTATTAAGGTAGGATTTGCTTCTAAATTCTAACTATTAAGGTATAGTTAGCTTCTAAATTCTAGTCGCAATATATACATTAAGATGTTTGTATGGTGTCGTCTTGCCTCGCGCCTAGGCGTCTGGAAGGGGTGGCTCGCCGTGCCTCACCTTACCGCCTTAAGAACTATGTGCATGGAATATTAAATATAGACTCAAAAAATAACTAATTATACAGATTGCGACTATTTTATGAGATGAATCTTTTAAGCCTAATTAGTCCATAATCTGACAATGTGGTGCTACAGTAAAGCTACAACAAACATGTGCTAATTACGGATTAATTCGGCTTAATAAATTCGTCTCGCGAATTATCGACGGATTCTGTAATTGTTTTTTTATTAATATTCGAACACCCCGTGCGACACCCTAACACATCACAAAAATTTACAGCTTGAATTTAAACAAGGCCGGACATTGCAAAGTGACATGGATGGGTGGCAGTGGCAGGCGCTCATTTGCTTTTTTTATTAATATCCGAGGCCAACATCAGGCCAGTAAGTTAGCACCTCTGTCCCTCCCTGCACTCGTTTAAATCAATCATCGCCTAGTTTAGGTGGTGATATCAGTTTAAAAAATTATACATGCTTGAATTTAAAATAAAGGCCTGACATTGCGCAATTTATTAAAAGTGACAGTACAGGATATAGTTAAGACAACATTGTGGGTGGCTACTTGGCAGGCGCTCAAATTAGTGTGTCTGCAATTAATCTCCGGATCCATACATGAGGCCACGATGGATTGGGTCAGGGAACTAAACAAATGTTATGCCGGCATCATCCATGACTCTACTAGTTGTAAATTTTGCACCGTCAATATCTCCAACCTATTTCTCCTGCAAAATTGTGCTTTCTTCATTAAAGTCAAAATCATCGCTTCATAGTAGCCATTATATATTGTAGAAGTCATCAACTCATTTTAATTGCAGCAAGAACCTCTGAACGAGCAATAACAATAGCTGGTCTCTTGTTCGGGTTAAGTGGTAACACACACAGAACAGCTTTACTATACAGTAAGAATCAACAATACCAGCTCTTTCTAACAGTGGTTGTCTGCTCTGCAACTTAACAAAAGGATTAGATCTACACCTCTTGATGGTGTTACCATCAGCAGCTAGCAGTAATAAATTAATATTGTTACCTATTCTTTCTTGTAATTTGTGTCGATAGGAAGCTGCAGTTAAAAAATCACTGCCAATGTACTCAAAATTTTGCAGGCTCAGAGATCTAGATGAACCCTCTACTCCAAATTCCCATTGGTAAATGAGCAGTCTTAATTAATCAGGACACAACACCTCTATCCCGTAGAAGATAGTAATTCCAATGAGTAGAACACGCAGAGTATTTACAATGGAACTAGGGTTTCTATTTGGGACAGGCAACACTGGCTTGAATTGTAAGGTCTTCTACCCTCACAAAAACAGCACACCTTCCTGTTCTTCTTTTTATAGGGACAACAGATTCCATATGTGTCCATCTGAACTTCTCTGATCTAGTGATCTTCCTCCAGAACTCGGAGCTCCTGAGTGAGAGGGCTGCTCCTCAGCCTTCTTGCTGAGGGATACTTTGGACTCGTGATGTGCCTTTCCTCGACAAATCTTTGGCTCTATCTGCCTCTCCAGATCATCTCTCTGTTGACACTTCTTACGGAGCTCGGTTTTCAAATAAATCACACATTGCTCTTTGGGCCTCCAATCTGGCCAATGATTGTGCTGGTTGCAGAGCCTAAGTTGTTCCTTAATCTTTATTCACAACACACCCAGCATTTAGGGTAAAAATAGATGCTTTGCGTCTTTAAACAGAACACATGAAAATGTTCTTTTAGTTAAGGAATCACGCTTACTGCATGGTGCGTAGCGTCTCTTATCTATCACTGAGCTGAAGAAGCCTATGTATTGCGTGGTTGTCCCATGGCGCGGCCCAGAATGGAGTGTAGGTAAGACGATAATTTTTTTTTGTGACTTGCTTAAGACGATAAAGGTTAGGAGCAAAGTTAAGCACCTATATTATGTCCTAGTAAAATTGAAAGGCAGACACCGCTTGACAGTGGATGGGCCAGTGTGCAAAAAGGATATAACATAGGCGCAGCTTTGACCCTGGATGGGCCAGTGTGAAAAAAAAAGATATAACATGAAGATATCTAGGCTAAGTAAGATCTAGGTTCTAGAGGATATTAAGACCAGAAAAAGATCTAGAGATAGGAACATCTTAGAGGGTGAACCGAATAATGCTGTTTTCAAGCTATAGCAAAAGCAAACCATATATAGAAGTAGAAAGAAGAATATAGATTTTTTGGAGGGTCCTAGTGGTCAGGTGCATGATCAAACTGATATGATGAGATTAGTCATAAATCTCTTTGCTGCAGAGAAGACTGAAGGTTTAGCCTTGAGTCAAAGTTTCTGGGATATTAATGATCTAGTGACAGAAAATGAGAATGAGGCTTTGACTGCACCTTTCTTCTCAGGGAATAAAGGCATAAAGCTTGTATTTTCGGTTGTTATACTGTTGGAGATTGGGAGCGGGAGGCATGCGTGTGGGGGCACTACGGTTGTTATGCTGTGGCCTGTGAGAGATTGGGAGTGGGAGACATGCGTGTGGGGGCTATAGGGCGTGGGATCCGTTGAGCAACAGGAGAATTTTACCACGATTAAAGGTCTTTGATAGATGAGAGATTATCCATATTGTTGTACTAGCATCACATCGACAATTTGACATTTAGCAGCACACTTGAACAATCAATCATGTTTTAGTTCTGAAACTCTGAAGTCGCCTCTTACAAACGGCACTGCAACGTAGCAAGCTACACCAGACAAGGGACAACACAATCTGGATGCAGGTACTTAGTAGTAATAAACAACTAGCTCCTATCGTCCCACCATGCACAATGCACTTATTATCACTCAATAACTATAATAACAACACCGCTATCTGAACCTTCAGTGTCTCAAACACAAACACAGGGACACCAAAGCTGAGTCCAGACAGGAGAGAAGCCATGGCGCTACCTGTGGTCTGCACTCTATGTGGTGAGGATGGGCGGGAGGTAATCCGACTTGTTGCCGAGGACGCGGGCACGGGTGTCGGGGAAGTTCTCCATCCCTGGCAGCTCAGTAACAGTGCCGTCACCAGTGACACCGATCGGATAGCTGAGGAGGTGGCCTGGGAGATCCTGCTCCAGGTCATCGCTCGAGTACAGATCCCAATACTTCTCGGCAATCCTGTTCACCTTCTGCACACACTCCACGCTCTCGGGGCGCTGGAAGACATCATCCAGCATTCCCAGGTGCTCGTACCACAGAGACATCCGAAAGCCGTGGATCTGGCCACGGGCAGGCTGCCTGGTCGCCAGGTGGTATGGCTGGTACGCGCCCATGGCGATTTCAGAGTCCCTGGCACCGTCCATGGACCTCTGGTTGATGTTGGCAGACCCAATGATGATGTACTCG